AATTTACAGTTATGAAGTAGCAGCAAGGATAATTTTGTGGTTGAGAAGCACCGAGGCAGAGTTTGTGTGTAGCTATGGGCCTTTACACTTCACTACAATCCATGTGTAATACTGTGATAATATAATCAGCACCTCCATGTGGGGAAAGTTATCGCCTTGTGTTGGGAGTTGAATAATCACAGGTACACTTGTCACAAACCTAATGAGACTTAGGCTGAGTCCTTACTCCACAGATGATGCTTCCAAGATTCTCCCGCTAACCCTGACGGTGGCTTGAGATGTGTGTATCTGCTTTCCTAACAAACAGCCAAGACAAAGTGGTTTTCTGACCATGCCTCTGTCAGAAAGCAAAGATGAAGTACCCTAAACACAAATGTATGCTAGAGGACTGTCTTAGTTAGGGTTTCTGTTGCTGGGGACGCCACGACCATGGCAACTCTTGTGAAGGAAAACATTTCATTGGGACCGACTTACGGTTTCAGAGGTTTAGTTCTTTATCATCATGGTGGGAAGCATGGTGGTGTGCAGGCAGACATGGCGCTGGAGAGGGAGCTGGGAATTCTACATTCAAACTGGCAGGCAACAGGAAGTAAAGATTGCCACACTGGGTTTACCTTAAGCATCAAATCCTGCCCCAGTAACCTACTTCCTCCAACAAAGCCACATCTCCTAATAGTGCCACTCCCTATGAGTCTATGGGGTCACTTTCACACTACCACAAAACTACCACAAAACTACCACAAGGGCCTAGGGCCAGAAGTTTTATGTGAACAGAAAAGGAATGCATTTGCCTTTGCAGCCATCAGGTTCTCACCACTGTGAGCCTGGTATGCGCTCGCTCTGACCCGTGAGCATAACGGCCATTGTCCCCAGCAGCCTCCTACGTGAGCGCCCCACAGCTGGTCTCTGGGCCTGAGGGCAGAAAGCTTTGAAACATGCAGCATCTGAGTTTTACAAGCATTAGTTTATTTCTTTGTGAGAAAAGACCGCCAGGGAAATGTACACCAGAGAGAACCACTGTCAGGGCACAGAGTATAGGATGCTGTGGTCAGCGCACCAGTTCACCCAGGTCACCCCAGGCATCGCCACGCAAGAGAGCGAGCATCTCCGGAAACAGAGAGGAGAAGAGCCGTGGTCAGCCTCACCTGCACACAGGGGAGAAGCATTGCTGTAGTAACCAGTGTGGGAAAGCTCCCCTTAACTGCCCATGGTCTAAGGACCATAAATAACCAAGTGGGGGGGGGGATTCTGCTGGAGTCATCGTTATGGGAGAACCTGCTGTTGCAAATCTAATCTTTCCAAACACAGAGATACTGGAGAGGTGGGGGCCCCTTTTGTTTTGTTGTAAGTGATAAAACAAAAATGTTAGGAACGGGTCAATATGGTCATAACTCTGGTGACAAACATTGCTCCACTCAACTTCCAGGGCTCTGTGGAGGAAGAGCTTCATTGTGGTGTGCAGATGGGAAGCCACTCTGCACACACTGTCTCCAGCACCACTGGGGAGAAATAGTAAAACACTGCACACTTATCACTTGTAAAGAAGGCCCAGTAGCCAGGCAATGGTGGCACATGCCTATAATCCCAGCATTTGGGAGGCAGAGGCAGGTGGATCTCTGAGTTCCAGGACAGTCTCCAAGGCTACGGAGAAACCCTGTCTCAAAAACAAAAACAAAAAAATCCCAGAAAGTCCCAGATGTCTTCCAAACAGTTCAGGCATTGCTCCTGGCTGCCCACCAGAAGGAGGTAGTAAGACCCTATTGTTGAGGACATCACACACTGTAGCTATAAAACGCAGAAAATTCAAGCTGGAACTCAGCAGAAATTCTACTCCTTACTGGCTAGATTCCATGGTGTGGGAAAGCACTATGCAACCTGCTGGAAGGAAAAAGTCATCAACTGTCTTACTCGTGATGAAACACAGGAGTCCAAGAACTGTGGTGGGTTGAGACTGTCATATTTGAATGTTTGGTTTCAAGTTGGCGGACCTGTTTAAGAAGGATTCAGAGGTGTGACCTTATTGGAGGAGGTGTGTCACTGGGGTTTGGCTTTGAAGCTATAAAAGCCCTCACCAGCCCAGTCTTTTTTGCTCTCTGCCCCCAACTTACGGATCAAGATGTGAGCTCTGAGCTACTGTGCCAGTGCCAGGCTGCCTGCCTACTGCCGTGCCCCCACCGCGATGGTCATGAATTCATCCTCCAAATCTTTAAGCCCCCAATTAAAAGCTTTATAAGTGGCCTTGGTCATGGTGTCTCATTGGCACAATAAAAAAGTAACTAAGACAAATACTGACCTTCCAGAAAAGGTATGTTCACAGTTTCAATAGTGACAAGACTGTTTGGTGAGAGACCAATCACTTTCTAGTAGGATTTAAGGACTGCTCTGTGGAAGGAATTCATGCCCAGCACTATGTAACTAGGTCAAAAGCCTATGGCTAAAGGGGTACACTCCTAATGAGGAAATGTATTATGGTGTTTTTGATAAACAGACATATAGTCAGACTGTGCTCCCAATGTTTATATGTATGCCCTTACACTAGGGAGTCTGTCAACCTTGGACACAGAAGACAAATGTGTGAACAAGATTCATAACTGGCCAGAGGACTAAGAATAAACAATGACTGAGTGCCTGGGTGTGCAGCCAAAAATGAGACATCTGTAGATCCCCATCCAAAGCCCAGGGAAGACTTCAGAAGGGCGGCAGGAAGGCTGGCAGAACTGGGAGGTGAACTGGGGGCTTATAGACGTGATGTGCAACTGGAGCCGTAAGTTTACAGCAGGTGTGGCTGCCTGGAGAAGGCTGTCTATTCATTCTTCTGTTTGATTGGTTTGGAGTGTTTTTTGTTTGGGTCACTTCTCTTACTTTTCTGACCCACCCATTTTCCTGAAAACTGTTTTTGAGACAAGGTCTCACTGTGTAACCTTTGGCTGGGTGGAATTCGTTATGTGGACCAGGCTAGCCTCGAACTCTGCCTACTGAATGCTGGGATTAAATGTATGCATCACCATTCCCCAATAAAGATTTTTGGATTTCATATGTATGCGTGGTTTGCCTGCATGCATGAATACCATTTGTGTGCCTGGTGCTTGCAGAGGCCAGAAGAACTGAGCCACCGTAGTGGTGCTGGGAACTGAACCCGGATATCTGGAAGAACAAACAATGCTCTTACTGGATCCATCTCTTCAGCCCCAACCCAAATTTTGAATACATTATGATTTCATGTAATAGAGAATTGTGTGTACACACACACAGTGATGTCAATTACCAGATCACAATGAACTAAGTATCAAATTTATCCTAAAGTTATTTAGTAATAAAATCACGATCAGGCCCATGCTGTGTGGTTTATTTTGCTTTTCTCTCCAGATCACCTGGTCAGGTACTCAGTATTTCCCATCAAACGGGGGAGATCAAAGGCGGCTTGGACTTCCTGCTTGACTCAACAGAGAGAAATAATAATCAGCCTTTTCTTGTGTGTCCCATTGAAATGGTTGAAGTCAAGACATCACCAATGTGGCCAAGAGCTTCCAGGACCCACATCCCTGGGACTCACAGAGCACCTGGGTAACAGAGCACATGCTTTCAAAAACAATCATGTTTACTACTCTTGGGAGGACTCGGGCTTGGTGGAGGACCCAAACTAGGAAAAAAACTCCACTTTGCCTCCCCCATTTTCCTTCTTGTTTGGCTTTTTGAGACACTTTCTCTACATATCCCTGATTGTCCCAGAACTCAGTGTAGACCATCACCTCGTTTTCAAACACATTACATACATGTATAAGATTGTATATAATTGTATATACGTGTATATAATATGTGATCAAACACATTATATATATGTATAAGACTGTAAAAGAATAAATTTAAAGATACTAAAAAACCAGCTATCTTTTCTTATGTGGCTTAGGTGTACAGGGAAATTGTCTTTTTTAATGACAAAACTGGCCATGGTATCAAAAGTTTGACTCAGCTGATCCACCACCCCACCAACAGCAACAACCATGGTCTACTTACTCTTTGCACCTCTGCTTCCTGCTCTGTGAAATGGTCACAAAAGTGCACTTGCTACTCTGCCGTGATAACAGCGCCTGGACTGTGGCGGACACTTCAGAAGCCCTAGTGGCTTCCTGCCGCCATGGAGGACAGGGCTGGAGGAGAATTCTGTGTTTATTCCACAGGAAAGCACCAAGTCACTGTTCTGGGGAACCAGAGTCATGGTCCTTGGAGTCTGTACGCTGTGAAGTTAAAATTTCAGCTGACACTGACTTGTTCGGAGTTCTCTCCCCCACGCAGAGGAATCCCTTCATAGCACAACAAGAAGGAAATACAGAGTTTTTCAGGTAGATATTTATACTCCACAACAAACTGTGTAATTTCAAACTAACCTTACTATAATTGTGTATATAATTATGCGCATTACATACACACTTTCAATTATAATTCAGCCATTACTGATATGAAGATGGCAGGAGAATGCAACAGTGGATGAGGAACAACAAAGGAGGCAAGATGAAAATGAGAGGGGACTGCGGTTCCAGTGAGCCGACACCTTCCGTCTAAAGAACTATAGCACACCTTTGCTCAAGGCTCCTCGGGGGTGCTATACAGCTGGACTGCCAAGATCAGAACCCTCTAGGAATACATGAGGACCAGTCCCTGGTCTTTTTGTTTTAATGTTTTATTTTATGCATACAGGTGTTTTGCCTGCATGTATATCTGTGAAGCAAATCTGTATAGTGCCTGAGGAACCCAGAAGAGGGTGTCGGATCCCCTGGAACTGGAATTAGAGATGGTTGAGACCTACCACGTGGGTGATGCGAATCACATACCGGTCCTCTGAAGGAGCAGCCAGCAGTCTTACCTGCTGAACTGTCAGAGTACTTTCTCCAAGGGCTTCCTTCAATTGTGTTTGCCTTTTCTGTCCCTGTTCCTCCCCGTCTCTATCCCTCCAGCATCCCCCAGCCAGGCCCACACAGGTCCACACTAACAACTCACTCCGTCATGCATGGTACTGATATTCATTCTGTATATACTGCTCCATCTCTTTCCGTGTTTCTCCAGGCTGAAATAGACTCACACAGACACATGCATATGTGTGCACATGCAATCTTTTCTCTCTTCACTGTTTTATGGGAAAAGATCATCTATGTTGCCATAGCAAGGATGTTCTCATCAATATATACTTGGCTCTGTCTCCTCTCCCTTCTACATGCAGCCTTAGTAGTTTTATGTCAGACATAATACCAGAGCATGGGGTGCGTGCACACACATGTGATTTATTTTTAAGACTGTTGTTGAAAAACAAGTTGAAATTAATAAGAGATTTGAGGTGATTTCTATTTGGCACCTTGTCAAAAAGAGCTTGGTTTGTTTACCAATAGTCTTTTTATTTTATTTATTTACTTATTTTGTGTCTTCTGTTCCAAGGGAAGTTTGTCTACAAAGGCAACTTGTCAAGATTGCATTAGCCATGGTACATGTCTGTTCATGGTAAATCAGCTAGAGTATCAGAAGGGTAGCTAGCTGCAAACGGAAGTATAGGCTGTCAAGAAAAAAAAAACGTGCCAAGAGAATCATCTGGGAACACATGGCAACTGTCCCTCATTCGTGGCCAGAGATCATAGCCTGAGAACAAGTCTTCTCTGCCGTGGTCCCCAGAAAATCCCCCCCCCAAAAAAAGAAATAAAAGACGGGAAAAGAACCTTTCATGTACCTAGTGCCTGCAGCTTCCAGGCCTCTTCCTCAGAACAGCCTGATTCAAAGGGAAAGAGGAGAGGCCCCACCCACACTAAGACCTGAGTAATGGGGCTAAGCGCATTGTGCTCAACGCACCGCTTACATTTTAACATCTAGAACATTTTAATCTTGACAGTAAATGTTGATAGATGTCGAGGACAAAAAACGAGGTCCTAGAGAGTGGTCTCGCACAAGACTCACGAGAGACCGGTGCCAACCCAAGGAACAAGGGCCAGCCCAGGCTCCAAGCGTCTCTCCACCTGTCTGGACCCAGTTTCCTCATCTGTAAAATGAACGCCTTGAACGTCTGACTTCAAAGGCAGGCCCAGCTCTGCCTATGATTTTGATTTTGATTCCGCATCCCCTCTGCTCCCAAGAAGTCTGGGCTTGTTGTAGTCCATGAAGAGGGTCTTGGCAACTGCAGTGGGAAACCCTTACTCTGTCTGGCTCCCTCCCTGTCCTAAAATGTCCCCATTCACCCCAAAACACATGGCTTTACAGAAGAGAGGTGGCCATCCACGGAGATGCTTGGCTTCTCATGACACCATTTGCCATCAGCTTGACCCTACAATGATACTTAACCCTACAATGATAATGGGGCTTTTCCATTTGACAAGACGGGTTGCTCCTGGTCCCTGTGGTCACCCCCTAGAAGGGTGTTCATCATCTACCCCAGCAAACAGCTGCTCAGCAACCCATGGTTCCTGATCTCTGTCAGAGGCCCGCTTCTGTTCTAGCACACTCTACCTGGACAGGAGCTCAAAAGAGGCCGGCCCATACATCCCGGGCATGATTCAAGACAAGGCCCCTTGCCAGAGATGACTTGCCTTGGCTATGGGGCGTACTTCTGCCACAGAGGCCTAAAGATGGCTGTGGTTGGTGTCAGGTTTCTTACAGTTTTGTCCTTACTGAGCGAAAAGATACAAATAAAAATGAGCAATCAACTCTCTGGGGTTTCTTTTTAAAAAAAAAAATGGAGAGGGCCATTGAACACTACGTCTTCAACAGCAGAACTAACTGACTGGATTCAGCCATGTGTGACTAGCCCACCTTGGAGCATGATGGTTACACTCACATGTTCAAACCAGGTGAGTGTGGGTTCCTGCCCCTTGCAGCTGACTGCATATTAACACGTCGAGAACCTAAAGCAATGCCCTCTATTCGGCATATGTGGCTTTCATGCTCGAGCTGTTTCCTGTCCATTATTATACATTCAGCACTGCCTCCCTAGTGTTCCCGCTCCTTAACGGTCCACCCTGGAAAACAGCATCATTCATCTATCATGCTCCATTGAAAGTAAACATGCCCTGACCTCCCAGGGTCCACGACATGCCAAATACACCCCCTTTTGATGCAACAGCTGCATGCCTGTCAACCGCACTAAACTGTGCCCTTCTTGTGGGCAGCGGTGTGAGGACCTGGTTTGCTTTATCTCCAGCCTCTGCCTGCGGCTCACATAGGGTGAGCACAGTCAAATTTGCTGAATTGCACATATTCTCCTTTGCTACCACATCAGGAATGCGCTCACCCCTTCCAATGGGGCAGTTACTTTGTATCTTGATGTGAGTGGACCTTGTCCAGTGGGGAGGGCTGATTTCTACAGTCTAACATGGAGATAGCCCTGTCAGAGTTCTTCACAGACGGTGGCTGAAGGCCTGGGGCCCTCATGTTTGCATCATCAAATGAAGTGAGCACAGACGAAAATGTGACCTACTGTGTTTGGACAGTGAAGGAATCTAGTTCTGAAGCTCAGCTCCAAGAGGCACAGATGCTCAGGCCTGGAAGGACTGCCTGCCCACCCCGCCCCATGGCATCCCTGTGGGGTTGGTCCTCAGTGACCAGCCCTCTTCAAAGAGAACTGTGAAGCAAGGGCTTGGACCATGGACGCCACCCGAAGCAACTCTGCTGAAGCTCTCTGTTCTTGACACTGCATGGCCAGGACCCCACTGTGCACGTGCCATTCCTCGGCCTCCACACACCTGCTTCAATCTCTTCTTGCGAATAAACGCAGCTGTTCTAGCAGCTCAAGTGAGTGCCCAGATACAAAAGATGCAGTATGTAAATAAGGCTAATAACCAGAGCCCAACACCTTCTGCGATTCCTTCTTCCAGCCCAAGATGACCCCTTTGGAAAAGTAGATAATGTCATGTGCAGTATGGCGGTGTGAGGGATTACACTAAGGATGTCATGACTCATTTGGGGAGTGCTGGTCAAATATTCGATTTGTCTTGCTATACAACAAAACTCCCAGCGGTTGCTCTACCCCTCATAAGGGAAACAAAACAACAAACAAACGAAGAAAACCCAGTGCCTAGACAGGCAAGTACCAGAGGCTGCCGGATGCTGGGGTGAGCACCGCAGCGCTGGCACCCCCTAAAAGCACAGCTGGATCAGCCTTCGGAAAACAAGCAGAACTACCCTCTGCTCTTCCTGCAGTCAGGCTTCCCTGACTCCTCACTGCCTGAAAAACACATGAATGCTAGACTGGAGACATTCCACCACCGAAACATACTGAGCGTTTACTGTATGCTAGCATTGGAAGGCAAGAAGGTAAGGCTCTCCCACACTAGGAAGTCCTTCAAATATGAAGGAAGACAAACAACGTGGGGTGAGCAGGGTGGGAATGGAGCAATGGATAATGCTTCCAGGAAGACTGGTGTCACCCACGAGTATCCTGGAACAATCTAGATCTCAAATGTCTTGGGGAAGAGAAGAGTCTCCTGGGCCTCCAACGTGAGTCTCAGAGACAAAAGAGGATGTCCGAAGGCAGGGCTCTGCACTGAAGCATCCTGGGACACCGAGGAGAACCTTCACATCTAACCCCAACCACATCCTGCCCTCAGCTTCATTTCCCATTGCTTTATCGTGCCCTGGAACATCCCCAGTGCCCACACTACACCTTCTAGCCTTTCTTTTTTCTGAGCATGGCCTCAGTCTTCTGCCTCCACTGTTTCCCTTTCTGGTCCTTTCCCCCTACCAAGACCCCTAATTTCCCTGTGAAGTTTTCCCACATTCCTGGAAACAGAGGGGATTCGCTCATCTCGTCTTGTATGACTCCTTGGTCAACGGGGTCGTGTCTTTACCTTTAACAAACACTGTCCCTGTCTACAGGGTCATCCCTCTTCTAGAAGGCTTGTCAACCTGAAGCCCCAGGACATGCGTGGTATAAACAGCAAGGAGACCCAAGCAGTGAGACTCCTGCTGCTTCAGTGAACCAAGAGTTCCTGGTGAGCTCCCCGCCTAGCACAGGTCTTTAGGGGAATCCACAAACTCGGCCCTTCTGCTTCAAGTGTCCCACATTGAACCCCTTAACCTGGGACATCACCAGAAACTTCTTTTTTGAGAGCAGTTACATTCTTCTCTATTCTTGGTGACCAGAAAACAACACAGTAGCAGGAGAGGAAAAGCTTTGGCCTTGGGGGCACCTGGGTGTGGATCTCAGCAGCAGCTCGCTCTAAGACTCAAATGGCTGAGGACACTTCATTGTACCAGAAGCAGTCTATGATCCCCAATTCTCAGGGCTGTGAATGCACCTGAGGACCGTCGTCAAGCTTAGGATTTGTTTTCCTGCCTCCCATTGCTTAATAAAGTTATAAGTCCCTCAAAACTCCGGAATCAGGAATCTCATGAAGCAGTAGCATTTGTGAAACGTCTGAAAAGGGGACTTGGGCCTGTGGACCAAGTCAGAGGAAGGCATGCAGACCAAGTCAGAAGAAAGCATGCTGCCAAGCAAGAAACTGTAGTGACGGGTAGCAAAGGGCCGACCCCGTTCTTACAGGGAACACTTGGTACCTGGCATTTGGACTGTGAAGTCCATGCCCAAGAGAGTTCAAGGTAGGCACAGACTGCACAGCCATGTTATTCTTGGGAGCATACAGGGCTCGTGTGTGTGTGTGTGTGTGTGTGTGTGTGTGTGTGTGTGTGAGGAGGGGTGTAGGTCACTGTATACAGCAAGGGACTACACCAAAGCACAGGCTATCTCTTGGGGGATAACAGCCCACATGTTACACAAAGCACAGGCTATCCCTTGGGGGATAACAGCCTATGTGTTATATAAAGTAAGCCTGTCATAACTCCCGAAGCCCGGAGCTCCATGATCCCAGTGCACGAGGAAAGTCGTCTCCGTACTTCAGTTGGCCCATTTGTAAAATGGGATGCTTGGTCCTCACACTCACACTGGTGCTCAGAAACCACTGCCATCTCTTGGGAGAGACACTGATGAGAAACAGAAGGGAGAAAGCAAAACTCTCAACCTTCTCCTCATGATACGCAGTAGAGATCAAAAATGGTATTGGTCTCTGGTAGCTCCGCAGCTTCGACATTTTCACAGGCGTTTCTGCTGGAGAAACAGCCGTTTAGCGAATCCCAGTCTGGTCCAGCCTTGTCACATGAACTTATGGACAGATGATGTTTTTTGTCGGATTCATGTCTTCAGAAATGTTTAGTTGGCTCACATGCTTGTGTGTCCACAGAGCAGAGACAACCATGAATGCTTGGCTTCTCAGTTAGCTTAGCCTGAGTCTCACAGAGTAACACAGCACGCCACCTCTTCTCCCGTGGGATCCAGGGGGACTCTAGAAAATAAGCAGGTGACAAACCATAAACAATGTCCACAGAATTGATCCTGTGCCTGGTTCTGTCCATGGTAGATCACTCCGGCCCCATCTCCAGAATCTAGAGGCCGAAAGCTTAGGAGATTCACAACTGTGGATAATGAGTCCAGCCTTGGGCCTGAAAAGAAACTCCAAGAGTGGCTGGATCAAATCTACCCTCCCAAGCAGAGCTGGCCCTTGTCTGCCAGGGGTCAGCACTTTTACTTTGCCTCCAGATTTTAGCCTGTCTCCCTCGCCTCAGGTCAGCCACCACACCTGCAGTGTGCTCAGACTTGTGGCCAGGGTACACTACAAGCACTGTTTCTCTGCCTGTTGTTTCCAAAGAACTGAAGGAACTCCCCTCGACAAAGAGTCAGAAGTGTTCCCCTCCCAGTACCACTGCCAGCTCAAACTGTCCTCCAGGATCGAGGCCTCTTCAAGTCACTCAGGGAAACACTTCATTCCTTACCCCAGGGCAGTTCTGACCTTCGCCCTTCCTTCAGTCCTCAGGAAACTACTATTCCAAGTATGCTTTCTTGACTCTACCCTGGACTCTGCTACCTGCCTAATACCCTCAGCATCACCTCAATACCCAAGCTTCCTGTCCCTCCCCACGCTGGCATCTCACAGAAGACATGTCCCTTGGACAGGCAACAGGGCCCAGGTCTGACAGTACACCCCATCACCAACTCTGAAACCAGAAAGACCCTGAGATGGGGAATGGGGAGATGGGTCCATGGGTGACAGTAATGCTGCGTAATCATGGGGGTCAAGGCTTGAATCTGCGCATCCATGTGAACAGCTGGAAAGGACCACACACGCCAGCAATTCCCGGGCTGGAAGGAACACACTGTGTGTGCATGTGTCACACACATACAGAAACATGCACAAAGAGAATCATAGAAGGGTTCAAGGATCACAGGGTGGTGGTGAATGCATGCCTTAGGAAGAAAGACTGGAGGTCAGTGGGGGAATCCACAACGTTCTCCTCTTGACTTTCTAAAGTGCTAATTTGAGCATAAATGTCATTTAATTTCCAATGGAAAAATGTGGGCACTGGGCCCTACTCCCAGAGATAACTGTATATTGGTGCTGGATTGGGCTGCCGTCTACCTGTGTTTTGTTTATATGGAAGGCGTTGAGTTAGTGATATGGAGGTACACACAGCTCACTGTGTGTAACAGGGAAGCAGGGTGCCTCTGTATGGCTCCCTCTGTACAAGTTTCCTGTCCTCCCTACAGAAGTCAGCCAGGATCATGGTCTTCATAGCAGGCCTGTTTCCAAGGACAGGCAAAGCGCAATGGACTCTTCATTGGGGAGCAGAAGTTGACAGTGTGGGACTAGCAGCCCAGATTTCAGTCCCGGCTCAAATTTGACTCTGAGTTTCTCTCAACTCACAGCCTTGTTGCAGACATCCCATTTGCTGCGTGCACTATGATGTGAGAGGCAGGCAGAGTCACCGTGACAGCAGGGCAGCCCCTCATCCCTGCTGTCTTTACCCCATCGCCACCTCTGCCTACTGAGTCACTTCACAGCATCAACACTGACTGGTGAGTCTGACAACAGGACCAGGCCACACCACCCGCCATCCTCCACTGATACAACCGTCTACATCACTGGCCCTTAGCTGCCTAACAGCAATCCTTGCACAACACAGCACAGGGATCTCTCTGGGCCAGGTAGGGAACCATTTGTACTGAAGTCCTCCTGCCTCATGAGAAGTTCTAGTTAAGTCCACGACAGAGTGGTCAGGAAAGCAATTCCATGAAGGCACCAGTTTTCTTTGCAGCTGCCTCTGGAGTCTCGTGGCCTTCCACACTGCACCCCTTTCTTTGGGGACAGCTGTGTCTCAAATAGGAATGAGCACTCTCTTCTCTCCTGTCTTTTCAATACCAGGCTAAGGACAAACACGTTCCTATGTTTCTCTCGTCCCAGAATTCAGTGCCCATTGACCCCATTCTCTGAGCTGAAAACACAGATACTTCATATGCACAGTTCGGGAGGTTCAGGTAGGGAAACCTGCTTCTTCTTCCAGAATGCCACCTCCGACCTCTCAGGCTGCGGTACCTCCTGCTCTGAGCTCTCACCCCCCAGCACTTTGCCCACTTCTCTTGAGGCAGGGAGATGTGTGCTTCACTAGCCGGGTTCCATGTTTCCCGTATCAGTGCATTTCTCTGAGCAGCGGGAAGTTCCAGTACTGCCGCCACAAGAACCTGGGTAGCAAGGGGAGAAAGGTGGAGGCAGGCTTTCCTCTAAGAGAAGGCTGCTTCCCACATCTGCAGAAACTTGGAAGAAACGCACGTGCTGTGCCCGGGTTCTGAGGTTCTAGATAACTCCACCTCCTCAGAGCCCTTGGCACTGACCCAGACTCCCGACTCACCTTTGCCAGAGGATTGCTGCCACTGCCACAGAGAGCGAGGCATCTTTATCGTGTGGCATACTGTACGATAAAAAACAAGTGCAGCACTGTGGCGGTTTGAAAGAAAATGGCCCCCAAGGGGAGTGGCACTACTAGGAGGTGTGGCCTTGTCGGAGGAAGTGTGTCACTGTAGGAGTGGACTTAGGTCTCTTTTGCTCAACTGTCCCTCAGTATGACAGTCAGCCAACTTCCTGTGGCATGCAAGATATAGTACTCTCAGCTCCAGCACCATGTCTGCCTTCAGGATGCCATGCTTCCCACCATGATGATAATGAACTAAACTTCTGAATCTATAAGCTGCCACCCCAACTAAATGTTTTCCTTATAAGAGTTTCTGTGGTCACGATGTCTCTTGACAACAATAAACCCCTAGATAAGCCCACTGGAAATCTGAAGGAGAGAGAGAAGCTGCATTGAGGAAGGTAAGAGAGTCTTCCTTCTGCCCTCAGTTACCTTTGTCTGGGCCTTTGGATAAGTCACAGTCTCCCCAGCCCAGATGGCTTCCCACACACTGTGTAGTTGAAGGAACATGTGGGGTCGATTAGCCACAGCTCCCGAGTCACAGTGACACACTGGCCTCCCGACGATCTGGCTACAGCAAGACCAGCAGCGCTGACTTTTCAAACAGTGATGCCGCCCCAGGCGTGGCTCACATTTCCTATTAGGACATCTTCCCACAGGGTCTGCCTCAACTATTCAAAGGACACTGGTAACTAGGGCACTGTCTCCCCTTTAGAGGCCTTGTCTGGACTCAGTGTGGACAGGTGGAGGTGGTGGCCATGGTGACCGTTTCACTAGATTCATTCCTGCTTCTGACTGAGTCTGTCCAGATTGCCCCCTGCCTCCTATGTGGGAAAAGATTCCATCTACAGCTTGTTCAACATGGGATTAGCCAGGGTGTGGAGGCCTGAGGTCTGGAGCAGAACAACAGGCCAGAGGGAAATGCCTCCCTATTCCTTTTTGCTGACACAAAACCAATGGAGGACAGACACCAAGAAAGATCTGGTTCAACTTTTTAACCCCCTCCCCCCTCTGGTTCTTGGGAAACTCCTGTTCAGTGCTGCAAATTCACCCTCACTCCAGGGGCAGGGCACCCGCCTGCGTATCTGAACTTCTGTGAGGTAGCTGTGCTGTCTCCGATGTCCAAGGTGAACATCACTTCTTAACTCTCCATCAGCAGACCTTATCTTCCCAGAAAACAGATGAAAAGGTCTGAGGGAGGCTGGGTGCCTCGGGATGGGCAAGGCTTTTATTAATGGAGCATTTTCTCAGGCCTTAACTAAAGCTCATCCACTTTTGCCGGTCAGGGCCGACAGTTGAGAGCAGTATTAGAGGAGGTAATTGCACGTATCAGTCAACAGCCTTTGTCCCTTGGCCGCCCAGAATTACAGTAAAACGGGCCCAGGAAAGCAGCAGGTTGGATTAAAGCGAAAGAGCCCTTTCTCGGGTTTCTCACACTCGCCAGCTGTTCTGGGCTGTGGGCACACAAGCAGCAATAACGTCTGGGGAAACCCACCCCGGTCTAGGCTCCTTCCCCCTTCCACTCCACCTCGAAAGTGATTTATCTTTGACTTTAAAGAGAAACATTTTCAAAAAGCATTCTGTCTCCCCAGAGCAACTAAGCGACTCACTCGCTATGAATTTTTCTCCCATTCAAGTATGTGAATCCGCATAAACCTAAGCCCCCTGTCACTTCTCAGACTGACTATAAACTAACCAACCCAGAGCCTTTGAAGTCACTCACAGGTCCTGATGGTTGCTTAAGTAAACACCACGCAGGACACAGGCATGTTTTATGTGCCCGGGACTGACTGTAAGTCGTCTCTGCTTCACTCAGGTGGGCTCCTACGGGAGTGCTGAGTTAAGACAGGGAAGCCTCACCTGGGTTTGGGCACTTGACACAAACTTTCCTCTTTGGTAAGTGTGACTGTTACCAAGTCCCTGATGGGGACACTGCATTGAGGGGACACTGGAGCTTCCGAGCTCCAACCCCAGAATCATTGCCTTTCTCTCAACAGCAGGAGAAGGCTACCTAAAGACAGCCCAGCAGGCCTGGCCACAAAAGAGGAGCTGCTCAGGACTGTGTTGTGTATGTGAGAACAAAACTGACCGTCCTGCCAGGCAGTGGTGGCACACATCCTTAATCCCAGCACTCGGGAGGCAGAGGCAGGAGAATCTCTGTGAGTTCAAGGCCAGCTGGTCTACAAGAACTAATTCCAAGACAGGTTGCAAAGCTACACAAAGAAACCCTGTCTCAAAACAAAACAAAACAAAACAAAACAAAAACTGACAGTCCTAAAAGATGGACTGTTGCCCAGGAGACAGATGCCAGAAAACAACTGTTTTGGTCAGTTTGGCCAGAGGGTCATGGTGAAACTTGGGCTGGAGTAGCCTTAGCCAGCTTTACCATGGTCTGGCAAGGACAAACTGAGGACCATGGGAAAGCTGATTGCCAGTAGGTTGGGGTTTTAAAAACTAGAAATGCTGTTGTATCCCAGAGTGACCACGATCAAGCCATTGTGTGACAACAGGTCTTCCATCTCAGAGACATCTTCCGAGGTCTCCACACACCAGGAAGCTCCGCTGAGTTAAAGCAGCCCGTGAGCAACACAAACACCATTCAGACTCAGCCACCTTTCAGAGCCACCTCACTGGGGAGTGGGAACTCGATTCTGGACACCAGGGGACAGGGGGCTCATGAGCAGCCCACGATCCTCCTTGTGGAGGCCCAAAAATGTGAGCCTATTCCACCTTGTCTAAAGGTCAGAGAGTTTGAGGTGACCCAAAGTTGTTGATAACGACTGTGGCTACACACCCTGACCTAGGCTGCGGTTACTTGGTGTTTTGGACATTAAGATGGCCCACAGAGGCATATCTACTCCATCCTGACCAAAGGTCAGAGAATTCAAGGCTACTTCTGCTCCTTATTTAGAAATAGGATGTTTGACCTAGGAAGTGGCTGCCTTCAGGATACTTGGTCTAGGGATGGGTTCACTGCCTAAACAACAGAATGCTTTTCTCAAGAATTAGTGACTTGATGTCGCAAGTATTGAAGCAAGTAACTGTTCTAGTTGTCCTTGTATCATGTTAAAGCTGTCTTTGGTTTTCCCTCCCCTTTTGTATAGGTATATAAAAGTGTATGGAAAATTAAACATGGCCAAACTCAGAACTCAGAATTCAGCATTCAGTATACACTGAGTTGCCCTCCCGGTACTACCCTATGTCTCTGTGTTTCTTTCTTATCTCTTTTCCTCCTACCCAACACTTCTAATTCTCATGCCCCTAACCTGGAACATACAAACACACCATGGCTAGGGTCACGGCAGAAGTCACCCCAAAAAGGTGTCTCCCGACACCTTCTGAGGCATCAGATTTATTTTGATGTTGGTGGATGCCAAAAGACAGAGTAGGGTGTCATGGAATGAAGTGCTTCCAGGTGACATTCACCCCTTACCTTTAGAGTCAGTGGCTGGAGCAGTCAGCAGGACAGTATTGATGTGCATTCTCTGAAAGGTTGGCTGAATCAATGTGATGCAAAACTCAAAAAGTTCACAAAATGATGTCAAGTGGGAAGTTCTCTCTCTGCTGCCTCGGTCTCCCCACTGGCAAATGCTACATTTTCTCTCTGTGCCTACGTGTGTACAAGACAGGAGGCATGTATTAAAGACTAAATATTTTGCTATTTTTCAGCACAAACAGAACCAAGTAGGCATGTTTTCCACACTTTGATTTTTTTAATTAAATATCTGACTTCTTATCAATTTTTTTATAAGTTCCTCTCATTCTGGTGTGTGGCTGCTTCATGCTTTGTCGTTCTGCTGCCTGATTCAATTAGAACACTCCGCGTTCTGAAAACACAGCACCACAATGATTCAGGGAGTTAGGCTGACGTGGGCCCGTTCACACTGACGTGGATCAGTTCACACTTCAGAGAATTCATGTGAAGTGAGTGCCTCGTCAGAAGAAGACCTGCTAGGTCTGTGATGGGCACTTCTCTACACAGATACCAGCAGAGTTCTCTCTATGGAAGCCATCCCAGTTGGGTGTGAGCCGCTTCCAGGGCAATGTGATGATGAAAATGGAATCACACTATAACGGGAATCTGCATTTTTCCTAAGAAGGGCTGGGTAGCTTTTCCTGAATATGACAGCCTATTCTCTGCTCTCTGAACAGCCTGTACACACCCTCTGCTAGCCTGGTACAGAGGGTAGAGCCTGTTTATCTGTCTGGTAAAGTGTTTCATGACACAGAAACACACTCTTGGCCAGAGACATGAGCTGTAGTTTTTATAGGCTAAGGATATTTCTTATCTTATGCCAACTTAGGGGCACCAGCCCAATGCTGAGTCTCCACACCCAAGCATCTGTGCCTCCTGGGAACCTCTTAATCAGCCTCAATCCGACCAGATGAAGCATCCTGCCACATAAAGACCATATATATCACCTACACACACACATTATAATACAGAGAACTTCAGCTATTACCTAATATTAAAAAGAACATATTGGCCTACTACCAAAATAACATGTGATGTCCCTGGGGCTGAGCTGAGCCACATTTTGATGACTTGAGATGCTGAGAGCTCTAGGTGCTTGAGTTTCAGGTTAAAAAACAAACAAACAAAAAAACATAAATTGCACCTGGATTCAAGGGCAGGACATCTACTCAGAAAACCTGGCTGGAGAGTTGGAGTGTGACAGGTATACCCCAACTTACCAGGGAGCAGTATGGCTGGAGCCACCCATGTCCACCTCTGTGCCAGCAGTTGATGTCACAGCATATGCATGGGGTAAGTCCTATAATAGCTGACCAAGGGATACCCACATCTGAATACCCATGATCACATTTATACAAATAACCTTGCCCAGTTCAAAACAATTCCCTTCGCCCAGGAGAGAGAGGGTGACTCATCCAAATGACATTGATGCCACCTCAGGAAAGTCAGGGCATATAGCACTTCTGATTCCTTACTCCCAAATGGCCGCCAAAGAAAATAAGGCTAAGCGGTATCTTTCAATGCAAGCCAAAAGACTGGCTTCCGTGTGTAAGCCACACGCAGGCAGCATCAGTGTGTGCTACAGTTGTTCAGTGCATGTGTGCGTACATATGTAAGAGTATGTGTCTGTGTGTGTGTGTCTGTGTGTGTGTGTGTGTGTGTGTGTGTGCGTGTATGTTGGTTGGTTGGTTGGTTTTTGTCAAGTTGACTCAAATATAGACATATCTGGGAAGAAGGACTCTTAACTGAGAAAACGACTCCATCAGATTGGTCTGTAGGTGAGTTGATAGGGTATTTTCTTGGTGAATGTTTGATCCCTGGGCAGGTGGTCCTGGATCATTTAAGAAAGCAGCTGAGTGAGCCATGGAAAACAAGGCAGTAAGCAGCCTCCCTCCACAGCCCTGCTTCAGTTCCTGCATCCAGGCTCCTGCCCAGTTCCCTTCAGGAAGAACTATTAACTGTAGAGCAGCTCTAACCCTTTCTTCGAGCTGCTTTGGGTCACGTCATTCAGCGACAGAAACCTAACCGGAAAGTGTGCTTATGTTTATGCGTGCATGAGTGTGTGTTTGTGTCTATGCGTGGATGTGTGTCTTTGCGTGGATGTGTGTGTATGCGTGTGTGTGTGTGTGTTTGTAATGTGTAAACGTCCACATGTGTGGTTTTGTGCTAAGGGATCCATTCCTGTAACTGAGAAATCTCATGCAGGGACAGGTAAGACAAAAATCCTCATTCTAGTTTCTAAAGCAAACCCAACAATCACGTACTATCAAACACAAATCGAATTGAGAATATTCAAGTCTAGTAATGTAGGTGATGACTACCTTCTACTTATAGTTTGAGAGAGAGAGAGAGAGAGAGAGAGAGAGAGAGAGAGAGAGAGCAAGCTGCATGTGTCTTGCACATCTGGGCATGAGTTCTATCTCTGAGCTGGGTCCTTAATCTTTATTTCTTTATAATCAATATTTACTTTAAAGCTGGTAACTATTAACGGACTATTAACTATCTACTCATTTATCATTCTATAAGCATTTTAGGAGCTGATAATTTGTATCAGAGGTTTACAAAAACGGCAAACCCAAAAAGGGGAGCATTCATGAGCGAGGAGCTTATAGGAAGTAAAACAGCAGCCGCGGTGTCTTAAGGGCATCAGTGGAAATGTCCTCGGCATTTTAACTTAGGGACCTTAAATTAGGAAAAGTGACAAAAGGTGCCTGAAAGAGCTAGGGAGTTGTCGTGCCCGCAAGCAATAGGAAAGCTGTTCAAGCTGGGTACATGTGCCCAATCGTGGGTGACAAACTCCCACCCACAGGCAGCTACTGTGGCTGTGGCCCTGAAAGCCAGGACCTCCGAGAGTGGGCTCTGAATACAAGGAAAGCCATGTTGTGAAAGGTCAGACTCCCAAGTTCACATTCACCCTGAAACCCTAAAGACCTTAGAAATGTACCAAGCAGAATGGACAGGTAAATACCACTTCATGGCGACCTCTCTGAAGGCAGAGTGGCCAAAACTCCTAAGCAGGAAACAGTGTGTATTTCCTCTAGTCTCTAAAGTCATTTTCTTACCTCCTCCAAGCCCGCTCCGTCCTTGACTTTCTGCATGGCAGATCTGCTTAGGGAGGAAATAATTCATAACATGGTACAAATGACTGATAAGACTCGATTGGTTGTTTCGATGAGGCAAATGTCAAGCAAAGGAATGAACTCAATTGTGGAATTTTCAAAAATCAAATTAAGTTGACAGGATACATAACTGGGTAGAAAAGGCCAACCAGCATTTCCCAATTTAGGGAGCTACCTGTCACTTCTGTCTCTCTCTCTCTCACTCTCTCTCTCTCTCTCTCTCTCTCTCTCTCTCTCACACACACACACACACACACACACACACACACACACATTCAAGGAGGAAGTCGGAGGCCAGAAGGCATACTCTCTGAGGACACTCTTAGGGAGCAAACACGTTGTACTCATGAGTGGAGAAGTTTGACCTCCCCATCACAGAACAGAGCCTCTGCTAAAGGACAGACTCCCAACAAGGAAGCGCTGCTGGGAGTTCACAAGGCAGCAGAGGCTATGTCAACTGATAACACCCAAGGAAGAGATTTGAGAGTCTGTTAAAATTGCAAACACATACATCCCTGACCTCAAAATTTCATGAGGAGTTTTAACACACACATGTGCAAAACATTTATAGATAAAAATATTCATTTAAAATACTGTTTTAATACCACCTAATGAAAACAACACACTAACATTTGAAATTTAAACAAATTATGATTTTAAAATAGAATGAAATACCATGAGGCTATAATCTGAAGAAATTCATTCATTATCATGCAGAAAAAAAAATCTTCAATACATATCATCAAATGCAAAGTAGAACACATAAAACAGTTCGTTAGTGTTTGCCCACAGAAGGCCTGGTTGAGCGCTCCTGACCACCAGAGCCTGGGAAATGCGGAGTTGAGGCCCAGAGACTTCATTCTATCCCTTTCTCAGTGATATTTTCCTAGTTAGAACCAGAGAAATCAAAATGAAAGCATGTCTTCGTCTTTGAGTAGCTCAGAAAAGAAAGATGAACAACAGCTATACAGCTGAGAGCTGATCAGAAGGAATGGGGATTTTTAAATGTCTCTTGTCCAGAGAAAAACTGGAAAGTATGTTATTTATTTGAACTTTTTATTTTATTTATTTTATTGACATGAACCACCACGTCAATGCCACCAAAAATCCTAAAGGTGTATTCATTACTGAAGGCATAGAGAGGTGGGGCTCTTTGCCCAGTGCCCTCACCTATAGGTACTTGCTCACATGAGGCAGAAGTTGGTGCCTCGCACCCAGGGTGGGCTGCTCTCACCTGCTGCCAGCACAATCTATATGGTACCTACCTGCCCATCACTGGGCCACAACAGGGTGCAAACCCTGAACCCTTCAGCTTATGAAGTGATGTGCATAGCCAGCAGTGTATCCGCTCTGTGTGGGCAGGAATCCTCAGCCTCTGCCATTGATCCCACATCTGTCTTTTCCAGGGGTTCCCCATTTCTCCCTAGCTGCACAGCCTTCCATACCTGCAGCAGGAGGCTGAGTGTGCAGCCGGAGCGGGAGAGCATTTCTTAGTGATCTCTGAGCCCTGGCTTGCTAATAGCGCTTCAGTTCTTCCACTGAAGTGTGCTTCCCACCCAGGACTTCCATCTGCCCTGCAACCCCATGCAGTTAACACTGAACTCCCTTTGGCCTCTTTGTTCTGCTTCTTCCTCCACACTGGAAAGCATCAGCCCAGGCCTAAAAATAGGTCCATCTTCATGATGCTCTCTTTCATCATAACGCTGCTCCTTGGCCCCTTCCCCTCCTCAAATGAGGCTAGGACAGATCTTGCTTTACCAAATTTAATTCGATATAAATGGTATGTTTGAGCTGACAAGATGGGACCACAGGTAAAGGTGCTTGTGGCCAAGCTTAAGACTGATCCTTAGAATCCACACATTGAAAGGAGAGAATGGACTGATACAAGCTCTCTTCTGACCTCCACACATATGCCGTGATGCATGTGTACACACCACACACAAACACACACACACACACACACACACACACACCGAGTAAATAAATAAAGAGTTTCCTTATGCTGAACACTGAACT